GTGAGAACGCGTGACACATGGCTAGCTATAAGGTGGACTACGGGTCGTACGATTCCAACTGGATCAGCGGCTTGTGTGCAGGCGGCTCGTATCAAAACGTTTCCCTAGAAAATGTCAGGTTAAAGGATTAAATACCATTTTGTTGCATTAGTCTGTGAAAGTCGTTTCCCTAGGTTAAAGGATTAAATACCGTTTTGTTACATTAGTCTTTGAAAGTCGTTGTAATTTTTAAGCATCAGTACAATACAAGCGCTCATATACATTGAGCCGGCATATCATCTTAAGATTTACGAAGCCATTGTAGGCACCTCGTCGTTGACGGAAAAGTCTCCTTCCACTGAAAGCGCATCGCCGAAAATCTTGAAATAAATCCAAGAATAATGCGAGCACCAGGATTTGAAACCTGATTGGTTGGGGATACCACTGTCCACCTAACCATCTCAACCACAGGTTGGTTCGCAAAGTCGTTGTAATTTACAGTAACCTGTCAAGGATATTGTTCACATAAAATACAATAAAGAAACCAACAAATAGTTTATATTAGTTGCACCGCAAATACAGCACACTGGAATGCAAACCGAAAGCATGTTCAGAATTAACCAAAAGTAAAGATGACACGCTACTCTCACTGTACATCAAGTTATGCAGAAGGCTGGTCAGGTTGGGGAACAGTGGAGCTGCTACCACTCTTGCGAGACATGCCCAAGTGCCCTGTCACAGTCCTCCCCATGAACTTCCCAGCTTTACCAAGGCCGCTGCCCACGGCACCAATACCAGAACCAACCAGACCAGCGCCAGCACCAAGCCCTGAGCCCACGAGCCCAACACCCCCGGCAACGCCAGTGCCCACAAATCCAACACCTGAACCAACTAGTGATGCGGCGCCACCAAGTGCATCCATCGTGCTGCCAATTACCCCAGCCTCCTTCAGCCGCTTTCTCTCCTCTATTGCTTTCTTTTCCGACTCCAGGGCTTCCAGTTGTTCTTCCTTGGTAAATGGATGATACATGACCTGAAGACTCAAAATATTAGATGCGTCATTTTGTCCAGAAATTTTACTGTGCAGTCAAACCACATCATTTTACTATCACGTGTTCACGCGATCAGGACTAAACAAGTCGGAGCTTATTTATGCATGACATATGCAGTTACTCATTAATTCACTATGATAGCAGACTTGAGAAAATCGAAGCTGGATATCAATGTTTCAAACTACACATGCACAAGGATATGACTAGTAAACTAGCAAGAGAAATCAAATAGGATGTGCTTGTAAGTTATATAACCATGCTAATAACAATCTCCAATTGTGTATGCTTTAACATCTATTATAAGATTCTCTAGCTTGAAGGCAACATTGGCAGAAACGGACAATAGAAAACCCACTCTAACCTTAAGATGTAATGATCCTCTATCCCTGTAGTCTTTAATCTTAAGTGAATCTACTGACTGCATAAGCTTCAGAGTGATTTCACTGGGAGTCTCGGGCACAATATTATTCACTGCTAATTTAGCCACACCTAGCCTCTTGTCTTGCTGAAGGTTGTCTTCATCATAAACCTGTACAAGCCAGAACAAACATATGTTACCCAGTAGTACTCAGAAACCAGCACAACAAACTGTAAAACTAACAGTGGTATGAACCCTTTGAACCAGAACGAGGTTGTAACTGTGCTCGATAAGGCATTAAATAGCCTGCGACTATATTCCAATCTAATCTTGGATTGCTGGTTAAGCCAGACTAACAAACTTGGAAACAAATCTCTATATAAAAGGGAATAACTAATTAAGAGATATATAAAGCATATCTCAGCCTTAGGCAGCAGGCGTGTGGCCCTCTCCTTGGTCAAGCGCTGGTACTTCTGGCCCCACATAACAAATAGCAAGACAAAAAAAGAGATATGAAGTTATGAACAACTTATGGTGCCAATGTACTTCTTGGGTTAATTAAGTAAAATTTTCATCCAAGCAAAATTTCTCAAACGTTCAAACAAGAGGGGATAAACGAGATACTAGATGTAAAGTGCTAATTATTTTCAGAACAGGGGATGGTGTCAGCTAAGGTTCCTCACAATTTGCAGTTTACAGTTGAAAACTTTGGTTATATACAGTTCAAGGATGACTGATTGGTTATGACAGGAATAATACACGCTAGTCTAAGGGAGTTGAACCGTGCAGACACCTGTAAATCAGCACCTTCGTACATGTTTAGTTCAAGAAAAATCCAAGACTAACTTTTGGTACAGTTATTTTTTTCCATTTCAGTATATAATTTTGAAAATAGTTCTGTCTAGAACCTTTTAGATTTGGCTTAGTTCACAAAAATTGGCAGTAAAGCTGCAAGTTACAGCTTACAAGTATTACAGATCCAGCATTCATGCAAGAAAAATGTGTTCATGACTTTCTATCACTAGAGGATTTGTAACAAGCTTCCTACTTTCCAATGTCACAGATCACACATGCCCGGTTTGTTTGCTGAAAAGGCCTATCTCTGATTGATTTAAAGGAAGATGAAGACGTCTGAGCATTAGTTTGGAACTCAGAGACTTGATATGCGAGGAATTAATTACAACACCACCACATTGTACAATCAGTATCATGATTAGAGCTTCCCATAAAATTGTGGTAGAAGGAAACCAAATGTTTCTAAAAGTATATCTGGAGAAACCAACAGCAAATCTGTGCTCCTCACTTACATATAGACTTGAAACACTTATAATTAGTCTATTTGATTAAACAAAATGTATTGATTAGGGTACCGCTGTCGAGAGATTTTTGTTGGGTCGTAACAATGGTACTATAGTACATGAAATTTGTAACAATGGTACTAGAGTTAGTACATGAAATTTGTAGTCACGGGGATGTCGCATTAGGATACCAGGTTCAGGCGCGCAAGGTGGGTAAAAGCCCTACTTCCTACCTTGCTCTTTCCTATATATGGAGAATATCGAGGATTACAATGTCGGCGGTTGCCCAGAGAGTTAGGGAAACTCAGCGAGTTGTGGTGGTGATTTCGACAGAAAGCGCCTGAAATCTTCTACGTGATGTGTACGCTTAAACTAGGCCAAAAAAGAGAGGATTCCCTTCCTATGATCCCCCTGTTGCCCCTTATATAGCTCTGGTATGGATGACTCCATATCAGTGCGTAGGGCGTATAGGGATAGGAGCCAGAACTGTTGTTGGTTTACAACACGTATAGCCTTTTCTACATGGTAGAGAGTTTTCCTTTGATGTTGTGTACTTCGTTGGAAAGCCTCTTCCCTGGTCGGTGGTGCTTCTCCTTGGTGTGATAACCTATCTGTAGATTTAGTGGGGCCCATTGATACGACGTTGAGGTGCCCAGGCCATAAGTAATTCCAATGTAGATTTAGTGGGGTCCGCTTATACGACAAGCCCCCCATTAATATTCATAATGGAGCTTGGTTCGCAAGTGGGTCGACATAGCATAGTCTTCTTTGTCTTTGTCCTTGATGGGTTGTGGAGTCTTCTGTTTGATATGTGTCGTTGGCGTGTAGTCAAACTTGACATTTAGTTGGGCAACAGGTCGTCGAATGATGACAATGTTGAACTTGATGCACATTGCAGGTCGGATGACGATAGTCGCTTGTTGCTTGTTGATCATTCTTAGTCAGATGTTACTTTTTACGCAATAGCTGCTTCTAATTGCCAGTTGCTACTTGTTTGTTGCGGATGCTGCTTCTTGATTGCCGTGGATGAGGATTAGATCTTGGCCATGGTCGTGTACTTGGATGGAAAGTCTCTTCCATGCTCACCGGCGCTTCTCCTTGGTATGATAACCTATCTATAGATTTAGAAGGGGCTGTTGATACGGTGTTGAGGTGTCAGGTCATAGATAATTCCATTTATCATCGACAACCGTCAACCAAAAGTTTGACAATGAACAAAAGGCGGGTAATCCGTTCCCTTACGTTAGGACATGATCCACGACACTAGAACTCTCGGTCTCATTACCAGATCCTTGACAATATAATTATAATTACTATTATACTATTACATCAAAATTATGCTAATAACATTTAAAGTCAGGACTTCTTCTAGCACTGACATAATGTTAAGGTTCATAAACTAGCCGGCTAGCCCTAAGACTAAAGTTACTGCATGAAAGGTGCACAATCTACTCATGAATCGAAGTCCTAGATGTTAACGTAGTTTCTCCCATCAACTTCTCATTTATATAACTATGTATATTTACTCTGCTAGATACGTTGGCCCATGAATCTCATGTATGCAGTTGGCTAGGAGGATTTTACCCAACATGGATGGCAGCATAATCTCCGAATCGGTCCACCACCTCCTTCGACATAGGCATGGTGTCGGTATTATATGACTACTTTGTGCGTCTTAGTTATGCAAAGGCCCGGTGTTGCTCATCATGCTTTTTATCCGCTTGATGCTACATTTTGAGTTAATAAAAGCGCCCTTTATCGAAAAGGTTGGCCCATGAATCTCTCCTTCCTCCATTCACAAATATAAGATGGTTTGGATATGTCAATATGGACTACATACGAACTGAAATGAGTGAACAAACACACTAAAACGTGTCTATATACATCAGATTCAGAAAAAGTTGACTGCGTACAATAGATCCAAAGTGGTCGGACCCTTCCCTGGACCCTGTGCAAGCAGGAGCTACATGCACCGGGCTGCCCTTTTTTTTATCCTGTACTCCATTTGTGACCGGATGGAGTACTTAAAAAGAACGCAATGTTCTGTCGTCCGCACGTCCTTTCATCCAACTCCTCACACCCTCCCCGCTACGATTTCTTTCCACCAATTTTTACCCCAAGATCCACCGGTTTTTATCCCACGATCCATCACGCCCTCTTTCAAAGAAAATCAAAAGGCAATTACGGATCTTGCGCCAAAGAGAGAGGGCCAAAAACGGCACGCCTCCTGTTCTGCCAGACATCACGGCGCCCCCAACCTTCTTCGCCACACTGCCTTCCATCGGCGCAAGATCTACACTATGTGCCGCATCCCAATGGCCTCACCAGGCCGTCTCACCATGGCGTGTAATGCCCGATGGATTGAGGATCCGGAGGAGGGGTGTAGGTGAGAAGAGAGAGGGAGCAGGTGACGAAGCACAAGAGGGTCAAACCATTGGGACTCTTAAGTAGCTACATGCCCTTGGGCCCTCGTAGGATATCATGGCCCAACTCGTGCCGTTGCACTAACCAGCGCACTTTGAGTCCGATGCAAGTGTTAGAAAGTATTAGTATTGGTCTAGGAGTCCTTATTGGACCATGTTTCCTTTCCTTGTGTAATGTATATATATGCCGCATCGGCTATGCAATAGAGATAAGTTGCATCATAACATGGTATCATGAGCCTAGGTTTAAGGGGGGTTTCGGGCGCCGCAACTCGCCCTCCCAATCCAATCATGCATGGCCGTTGGTCGTCGCTGCCTTATCTCTTGCTGCCGGCTGCTACTCCCATCACCCCCATGCTTCTCCCCTTTGGTCGATGCACACCTACCAGATCGGGCCGTCCCATTGACCTCCAGATCCGCCCTCTTCTGCTTTTTTGCCCAATTTTCTCCAGAATCGCGTTGTCGTACCTCAACTCACTACGTGCTCTGCCATCCCGCCGGCAGGCTTCCGCCATCCTGCGCTACTCCAGGTTGCCTTCCGCCGACACCTGTCCACGTCAGCTACCTTTCGCCGATCCGCCGGCCTCGCCAGGGCTGCACCCGCGCGGCTCTGGCTGCCTCTCAATCAAAGCTATCGCTCGGTCCGCCAGGTCTTGCACTTCCGCTTCGCATGTGCCTACTGGTCTGCTAGATCTGGCAGCTGGTTGGCCACCGTGCTGCTCGGCTTGGTTCGATCTGTTGCGTGTTGTTCATGTTGCTCCTCGCATTTACGATAAAGGGCACTTTATTACTTAATAGGTTTAAGTATTACACCTGGCCTCTGCGTAACCAAGATGCACACAGCCAAATCAAGTGCAAACTCAGAAACTAAAAATGGCAAAATACAAGTAATCATGACAAGATTGTATGACGCCTAAACCATGGGAGGGCCAATCCTAAGATCATGTTGCCATCCATGTCGGGTAAAAGTATCCCTCGCCGTATTCTCCAAGCGTGTACACACTACCGTAAACAAGTCTCGATTCTCCACACATTGTAGAGACGACCCGAAACGGAGCATACCAATACATTTGTAGATAACCTGCATAAGAGAAGTGCTTTTATCGTTAAAAACCTTATCATTTCTCCTTGCATGCTGCTTGCTTCTCGTGTTGGCTCTTCCCTGTAGCTACTACTGCTACTCACACTTGCTATTTGCGTTGCTAGGTCCTCATGTGCGGGTGCTCCTCTTTGCTGCTGCTCATCAGCATCTCATTGACACAGCTTTCTCCGTAGCTTCTCTTTTGCTTTCATGATGGCTTTTGCATCTTCGTCCCGCGTATGCTTCCTAGCTTTCTAGTTTTCTATCTTTTTCGTTGCTTCCACCAAATCCATTGATATTTCGTGTTTCTCATGCCATGCGAGTCCACCATACCTTTGTCCGTCAGCCTTTCTCTGGTCTTGGTCCTTT